TTATGATGAGCAGTAAATGGCTCATTTTGGTGTTGGCAACAGTTTTCAAAATCGTGCCAAAGCCTTAGCGTATATTAGGATTTTACTGCAAAATCTTTTAAACCTTTTTTTTTTTCCTATTTAATAAATGCCTTATTTGTCCTTTTGAAGTAAAATAAAAAAATAGTAATCAGTCATCTAGACCAGGGTTTCTTTAACTGTGGGTCGCGACCCACAGTTAAGCGACAGTCAAAAATTTTAGCAGTTTTGATATTTCTTTAACTTACTATATATATATTTTACTATTACCAAATATTTTTGCACAATGTATCTGAAAACAGGTAAAGATAAGGCAATACAGACAAAGAAAAAAGGAAAAAGTTTCGACGCAATCTTTTTATAATATAAACATTCATTTTCCTTGCTTTGCATGTTACGCTGTCATTTTGTCTGTTACTTATTTAAAATTTTCCCACTGATGTATGTCTTAAAATTAGAAATTAAAGTTAATGACCTAAAACTGCAGTAGTATATTACAGTACAAGTGAAAAAATGGACATTTTCACTCACACGTGTCGGATTTGCGCAATACTCATGGGGTCCCACAAAATTTTTGTAAATATGGGGTCCTGAGGGTCGCAAATAATCCTCAGTGGTAAAAGGGGGTCACGATTGGAAAAAGTTTAAGAAACCCTGATCTAGACAAACAATTTAATATTCGCTAAAATATCGTTGATTATTCTAATACAATTTTTAAGTAATTATTTTTATTTTTATGTTATTCGGATCACTTAATGTTGCTTTTTCCCTTTAAATTTATTTATTATTTCTAAATAATGCTTTCAAATTTCAGGAAATTTCCTTTTTCATAGTCCTGAAATTAATTCTAGCAGTATGATGACACACCATCACGAAATTTAATGCAAATATTTTTTCTTATGTATGCTTCTAAATAAATACAAAATACCTGAATTTATTTAAAAATATCATTAAATAGATTTCTTTCTTTCGTTTAGCAGCAAAATATCTGCAAAGCACATTTTTGAGTTTTCAAGTAATACCATTTACTTCTTAGCACAGCCAACAAGCATTATGCAGGTAGCAGGGTTGCCACTCAAACAGGAGAATGAAATTCCCTGACTTTTCCAGGTTTTCCAGGTATGTTTCGAGAAAATTCCAGTCTATTCGCGTAATGTACGTTGGCTGTGCTAAGAGGTAAATTAATTATGGTATTACTTGTACTGTGTAGCAAATTCACTTAATTATTCAATAAATCCCAGAGGACATTTATTCTTAATTATTCTTGGTACACTTTGTTTGACAATTTTGTTTACTTTTCCGCTTAAAAAAACTTAATAAAATTTAAGATATATACATTGGATAACAACTGTACATTTTATTTAATTATTATTCATGATCTCATGATCATCCCCAGTTCAACACGAGGCTAATCCGGTTCTTATAAAATCACAACGCAATGCTAAAAGTCAGGTTAGATTTTAGGTAAATTTAATTTGTGTGAGGTGTATTCTTAAAAGGCACCTTAACACCTGAAAACACAAATATTATTATAACAGGAGTTGTTTTTTCCACTGAAGATTGTGATTAGAATCTGCCCAATCTGGAATAAAATAAGGCTTTTTTTGCAGACATTCTGCAGCTAAACGAAAGAAAGAAATCTATTTAATGATATTTTTTTACTAAATTGAGGTATTTAATATTTATTTCGCAGCATACATAAGGAAAAAATATGTGCATTAAATTTTGTGATGTCATCATGCTGCTAGAATTAATTTCAGGATTATGCCAGAGAAAATTTCCTGAAATTTGGAAATATTATTTACTAATAATAAATAAATTTAGAGGGAAGAAGCAACATTAAATTATATGAATAACATAAAAATAATTACTTAAAAATTGAATTAGAATAATCAACGATATTTTAGCGAATATAGTTATATTACATGGCTAGCCTAGATGACTGATTACTATTTTTTTATTTTACTGCAAAATGGCAAGGTATTTATTAAAAAGAAAAAAAAAAGGGTTTTAAAAAGATTTTGCGGTAAAATTCTAGTATATATACGGTAAGGCTTTGGCACGATTTTGAAAATTGTCGCCAAGACCAAAATGACCCGTTTACTGCGCATCATGATGTCGCCAAATCCCATTATTATTCTAAACAAAGAACGTCTATGTAAAGAAGAAAAGGTTCCATACAAGTAAAATGCTATTACGCCGTTAGAATGCGGAGGGAAAATTTGCCAAGGGATTTGGCGACGGAACCTGGCGGCCAGAATTTCTCTCTTCGCGATGTGTACAGGAAATTGAGAAACACGTGTTAAGAAGAAACATTCTTTGACAAAAAAAGAAAACTACGAAAATCCGTTTTTAAATTATTGCGAAAAATCCAAAAAGAAACGTTTTATCAAAGAAAAAATTTTTTCTTGGATTTTTCGCAATAATTTTAAAAGCAGATTTCCCCCCCCTCAAAATAACTAATCCATGAATTAATTTACTTGCACCAAAAAATATTTTCTTTTCCTTTAGAGTTTAAAGAAATTTTAAACGACATTCATTTTATGAAGTCTTGATAACGTGACCTTCGAACTTCGACACCGGTTTCGAGCTTTGACGCATGTACAGCTGTTTCTCGCTATGATGGAACAGAGCCACGTCTGTTGCAGAGAGGTTTTCCTTCTTTACAATACATATTTTTTGATTCTAACCTTCATGGTACCGTATTTATGGTACCGCATGGTACCGTAGATTTAACCCATTTTGTTTTATACGAGAACAGGTACTTTCTTTAGTTCATGCACTGCACATGTGATTTCTCTCGAGGTTACTTGAGGTTGCTGGAAACCAAAAGTTGTGGGAAACTTGCTTTGCCTTTCTAAAAAAGACAATCAAATTCGAGCTGCGAAAATTGGCTCTATGCCAGCTGCCTGAATGACACTCACGTGATACACAATTCACCAAAAAAAACACAATTCACCAAAAAAGTGATCTCTTTCGACGTTGGTGCAAAACTCGCCTTTTTTGGCGGGATTGTTGTATGAAATTCCCTGATTTTTCCAGATTTTGACTAAAACACTTAAATTTCCTGACTTTCCCCTGAATTTTTTGGTCAATTTCCGAACTCCCTGACTTTTTCCGGTTTTCCAGGTAGCGTGGCAACCCTGAGATAGACTGGAATTTTCTTAAAACGCACCTGGAAAAGTCAGGGAATTTCATTCTCCTGTTTGAGTGGCAATACTGTTTATATTATTATATAAGACATAAAGTACGAAACTTAGAACTAATATTTCACAAGTTTGGTCTTTGTGAAATATTAGTTCTAAATTTCTTACTTTATGTCCTTAATGATAATTTTTCTGCAGCTTAACGCGAAAATACTAGGCATACTTATATTTTGTTTACAAAAGTATTGTTTTGTTTATATATAAACACACTTCGTAAAAATACTTTTGACCTTTTGATTCCCAAAATTTGGCAAGTTTAAACTTTCATTTGCAAGATTATTTCCCATGTTATTCAATGGTGTGAAGATATACATATAAAAAAACCCTGTGATGAACAATTTTAATATTAAATATGGATTTAAAAATTCAAAACTAAATAGAAAAATATCTATACTCAATTTTGAAAAAATCTCCTGTGGTATTTTGGATTGTCATCCCAAATATTTATGTTAAAAAATTTCAGAAATTGATGTTCAATAGAAGAAATTCAAAAATTAATTTTCAGATTTGGTAGAAATAAGCAGAGAACACATATTAAGTAACCTGAAAAAAAAGGGGGGAATCTTATGGCCTTAGTGAAGTATACAGGAGACCATGTAAAATCACTAAGGAAACAATATTAAAGTAGGAAAACTGATTTTCATTAAATGTAACAGGAACTGTCTTGCTATGATTTTCACCAAAGGATATTAGATGCACAGAAAACACATTCCAGAAAGGTAATATGCATCATGCTTTGATAAAAATTAAAAATTCAGGAGGAAAGATTAAAAATGTTCTTGAGATTACCAAATATTAAAAATAAATAAAATGAATTCTTTCAAGAAAACTAAGAGTTTGATAATAACTATACAAATCGAAATAATAAACGCTTTATATTCAAAAAGCTATTAAAAAATGCACAAACCACTTGGATGATTAAAAAAAACCAAAAATTTTAAAATCGCATAACGCAAAAATTTGGAAATCAGCAACAAAATAATAAATTAAAATCTTTTAAAATGCAGCAGTAAGTCACTTTTTACCCGCCCCTTTTTTTTTTTTTTTTTTTAAGTCTCTTTTGCTACTACTGATGAAATTTCCTCTTGAGATTTATAATACAAATATTAATTTTTCACACTGAAGCTGATTTGTATAATTAACCTTGTTTTTTTTTTTTTTTTCATATAAAAATCAATCAAATAATTCAGATATAAGTACATAAAACTACTCTCATATTCAATTTGTTGAGTATTAGAGACAAAACTATACTAAAGTTACACAAGCTTCTTCATATAAACTTCAGTTCATAACATCACTCAATTTTCAGTAGCTCTATAGGCACGACTGTAGGGAAACCACATGCCACAGACTTGGTTCCTGATTCGAATATGGGAGAAAGAATGTGTGGTTGGAACTATATCGATGGGACACTTAAAATACTGAAGTCCTCTCAAGAGATCAGTGGTAAAGGGTGGGAAAGGAGACCCTCTTATCTATCTTCCAAGAAGATATGGCTGAGGTTCATACCAGGAGTGTTAATAACAATACTTTCAGTTATCACTTTATATCTTACTTATTAATATAAAATTACATTTACTAAAATATTTAAGCAAACAAATTAATATAACATGGAATAACATAATGAGCATGATAACTAAATTTGCTTTTAAATAAGGTTCTTTGCAATTCTTTTAAATAAGGAAAACTTTTCCCTGTAACAGCTGAAAATTTACAAAAATATGCAACATATATAAACAAAAACTGAATAAAAGATTTTAAGGCCAAAATTATTACTTTTCCTGAGTCAACAACATATTTAAGTCCAGGGATTGTTATTGAAGTTTCAGCAACATTTGTAGAAACAACACAGAGACGTGTACCAGGAGGTGGGGGCTTAAAAACCTATTTTAAATAAGATAACGACACATAAAATTAGCAACAGCAGTTTAAAATATTGAAATATAGTTTTATAACTTAAAATAATAAATATTTTAATGTTATGTATGTAAACGATAAAACGATACCTAAAGCAAAAATTATAAGCTCAAAATGTTACTTATATATTATCCCATCGACCATGAAACTTTCGCTGTGTGATTTAGTGCCAGTTATGGATAAGCATGATGTCACAATACATGACTTCTGCACTTTCATTTGGTGTAATCCTGATTAATTCTCCATTCACCATCTTTTGATTTTATGAAATGGGATCTATATTAGCTATTATTGCTGTATTTTTTTTTCTACATCTGAAAAAGAATGAATCTGAGGGTTGTAAAATTCATTTAGGGTAAAACTTTACGTCCAAACTTATAATCCATTGGAAGCAGAACACATTTGAATACAGTCGACAAAATAGGTAGAAACAAATACCTGCAAGAAGTTTGTGTTCATAGAATTCTAAACAAAGTTTCTGATAAAATCAGACAGCCTAGCAAAATAGTTGAAATCAATGTAAACTTTTTTATCAAGAGCAAAAACGAAGCAGACTGAGCACTTCCACATCACTGGCTATTTGGTAAACTGTGCAGAATGTATGTTACATAACTGACAAATGAGTTACTGTAAGGGTTGCAGATAGAAGTGCAGCTGAGTATTCCGTATAAACAGCTTACAAGGTATTTTCTCCCTCCTTCCAACAAGCCTTTGTGGTGTAACAGTAGCACACTTGGCGCATATTCGAGAAATCCAGGTTCGAATTATGGTGAGGGCACTGCACATTTTTCATATTTCCAGCTTCAAAAAAACCTAATGATTCTACAACTGGCACCCAAACTAAAAGGTGGTGTCGCAATAATTTTTCACCACCAGGATTTGGTAACTGGGTCCTCTAACCCTCAGTCGCCCTTTAAAAGAGGAAGTATATAAGGTATTTTCTCCCTCCTTCCAGTATGCCATCGGGATGTAATGGTAGCACACTCGGCACGTAACAGAGAGGTCCAGGTTTGAGTCGCGGCGAGGGCACTGCACATTTTTCACACATCCCACTTCAGAAAAACCTAATGACTCTACAAGCTGACTCAACTTTTGTAGAATCTCTGCCAACTTTCTTGGTTTAATGATAGCCAGCTTTCACGTTCAATGTGATAATACCTAAGAATTAAAATTACACCAGAATGAAAACTAATATACCCCAGAACAAAAATGATATTATATTATGTGCCCCCCATCCAATAAAAATAATAATAATTAAAAATACTAAGAAAAGGTTTCTGTGCAAACGGAAGTAGAACTTGACTATTTTATGTGCAACTTCAAGTACAAGCAAGAAATATGACTTGGGAAATATGACCTCATCAAAATATGACTAGGGATAATGTTCCTAAGGAAGAATGAGAAGCAATTTTTGCATAGTACACTGGGAGAATTTTTCCTAGCAGTTGCAACCAATTAAAAGAAAAAAAACTCTTTTTTTTTTAATCTGGTGAAAACAAAAAAATGCACAAATGACTTTTGATCAAAAAGTGTATGTTACTTTCATGAAGAAATCTGTAAGGAAAGAAACAATGCATATGTTTAACTATTTAAAAATTTCCTATAAAATTTGTAAATATATCATTATATGGACAGATTTTGAATGGAGATGGATATACACCATCTGTGTGCAAAATTAGATTACTCATAACACTACAAAAATTTCCCTCAACAAATATTTTAATAACAGAAAAAATACTTCCCTTCCTCTCAAAAAATCTTCATTCATAAACTATAATGAGTTAGTGAGTTACAATGAACTATACTGAGATATTACACAGGACATTAAAAAAATAACTATATTTTGTCAGGCAATGGATCACACAGCCAACTCATACAACAGTTGCAAGAAATGATCCCCATGAATATCCAGATATGTCTGCATTTGTTTCTTCCTGTTTTTTAAAACTCTCACAAGCTCACAAGCTTTAAAACTCCCACTCTTCACAGAAGGAACATTCTTGGTGAAATCACCAACAATAGTTTCATATGAGAGCTTTCTTAATAAACACCTTTTTTCGCATAACCCTATAAGTGAAAATCTTGTGGACTTAAATCCGGGAAACAGTGTGGCTACCCGCCCTTCGAAAATATTCAATTTCCAAAATACTCATGAAGTAACTTCATGGACTGTCTGGCTATAGAGCCATATAATTTTCTTGAATCTAAGCATTATTAACTTCATCCTCAGTTAGCTCTCCTACAAACTAGTGAAGGATTTCACAATAACAATCTGAATTTAGAATGTCTTCAAAGAATATGGAACCAATTCTTCTTGAAGTAATAGCTTTTCTAAATAGTACAATCTCCTAGTTCTAGATAGTACAATCTACACTTCAGTTTTCTGGTCATGTAAAGTTTCAATGGCAAGTGGCAAGTAGATGTATGGCAAGTTGGTTGTTGGCGGTATAAATATGAGTTTCGCAACTTGATAAATGGATAAAATCATTCCAAAATATCCTCAGAATTCTCTGATAGAAATACAGTCAAAAGTCTTTAATCCGGACATCCATAATTCGGAATGATCTATAATCCGGACCTCAAAGCTACAAACTTTCTGCGCATGCGCATTTAATGTATAACGGATGATATAAGCTATGCTAAAATTATCTAATTATCTATTTCAGTTAATGTTGCAGATTGTGTTGTTCCTTAATCTTCTAATTGGATCCGGCTTATTATTTTTTGCAGACTGTTAGAGCAATTTTATAAAACTAAGCTTGAACTTTTGATTATGTCAAAAAGAATTTCCGATTCTGGAGCTGCCAAACGATCTACAAAGCGAAAGCATGTTTCAGTGTCCATCAAACAAAAAGTGGAATTGCTGCAAAAAATGGATAAAGGCATATCCTTTGTTTCGCTAACCATTCTGAAATCTGAATATCAATTTCATGCTGCTCTGCCGGGGGGGGGGGGGGCTGCAGTTCTTCTGTATCAAGAGGTTCTACAGAATAACTGTAACACTGTTCAAAACAGAGTTAGTTTTCTAATTACACATTTAATGTACTATGGTTAAACTAAGTACAGTAACATTTATATATTTAAAAAACAAATACCTAAAAGTGTTAAGAAACAGGTTTTTCACTTACAACATCAAAAACAGGTAAATAAAGTTGAAAATAGCAAACAACATTAACAAACAAAAGGGAGGGAACGTCGCAGGGCAATGAACTGAAAGTTGATCTGTCAGCTGCAGTTCTTCTGTATCAAGAGGTTCTACAGAATAACTGTAACACTGTTCAAAACAGAGTTAGTTTTCTAATTACACATTTAATGTACTATGGTTAAAATAAGTACAGTAACATTTATATATTTAAAAAACAAATACCTAAAAGTGTTAAGAAACAGGTTTTTCACTTACAACATCAAAAACAGGTAAATAAAGTTGAAAATAGCAAACAACATTAACAAACAAAAGGGAGGGAACGTCGCAGGGCAATGAACTGAAAGTTGATCTGTCAGCACTATCCTTATCTTCAGGGCAGATGTTTTTATTTTATTCGGCTTATAATTCCTTAATAAATGTAGTATTTCATCTCGATGTACTCCATCTTTGATATGATTTAAATCAAATTCCTCATCATTATAAATATCACGAATACACATCAAATAGTTTTCTGGTTGCAATTTTCTAATTTCGACTATGCGTAATGTATGCTTTATGCATGCGCGCGTTGAAAGAAATGTTTAATAAAGTAAACAAATAAATATTAAGCTTTTTTTTTTTGTGAATTTTGATACCTTTTAGATCATAATTGCTCTTTATTTCATAAATTATGGTTTCATATTTTTAATTTTATAATTTCTGCATGCCATCTTACCAGATTTAAAGTGCTGATCTATAATCCGGAAAAACCGATAATCTGCAATCGCCGAAGTCCCAACGAGTCCGGATTAAAGACTTTTGACTGCAATTAAAAGAACTGTCAGAAACTCTAGGTATATTTTTACTTTTCAAATGCAATGAATGAATGGTTTAAAAGGTCGATTTCACAAAATAATGCAGATTTTTAATAACTCAAATTAATTTAATTGAACGATTAGTTTGAAGACAAATACAGTGAAACCTCTTTGTGATGAACACCCACAATTTCAGATGACTGATCTCCTTCATTAAGTGGTAGCTTCAAGAACATAAACATTTATAACCAGTGTTTATCTATTTTTTTCAGAAATAGTAGTCACTTTTAGAAGTGAGGTTTCACTGCAATGGAATGTCTGTAATATTTATTAATCATGGAACATTTAAAATTATTTATGGATAAAATAGCTGAAATTGCAAAGGCACAGATCAAGACAATGGAATGAAATAATAAAACAGCTAAGTGTACCTTTTCTTGCTCTTCGAATGGTAATATGGAATACAAAGGTAAAGTATATAAGGGTGTAGAAGTATCTTCTTTTAAAATGTTAAAGTTGTCACTTTGAGACATTTCATCTTCCCCATCTGATAACTGATGCTGCAGATCTTCTGTATCAAGAGGTTCTACAGAATAGCTGTAATAAAGTTCAAAACATAGTTTTCTAATTATGCATTTAATGTACTATGGTTAAACTAAGTACAGTAACACTTATATATTTAAAAAACAAATGTCTAAAAGTGTTAAGAAATTTTGGGGGAGGGGAGGGGAAGTTTTTTCAGTGACACAAACAAATAGCTTTTGTTTAATTATTAATAACAATAGCAGATTTCTCTTTTTTTAACAAATGAGCATTACTGATTGGCAAAGGAGTATCACTGCAGTTGGTATGAAGGTCAGTTTCCCTTTTTCTAAATAAATATTTTTCAAAGTGCTGCCATTAATAGTAGATATAAATTTAGCCCTTGTTATAGTAGCAACAATAAAAATTCTCATATACTCAAACCGAATTTTTTTGGGGGAATTTCCAGTATCGTTAACATTACTATTATTATTTATATACTTATTTTTCTAGACTTGAAATTCCATCAGTATCTTTCACTTTCCAATTAAATTCTATTGGTTATCAACCAATAAAAAACTATTCAAGGTATTAAGTAATGAGAAAAACAAAAGAATACCTTCAATTTTGTTTTATGCTTATGTGTGATATGTGCAAGATGACCTACAGTTTCACTTGATGATCACTGCTGAACAGAAACAGGATGTTGTCACACATACCTACTCTCCCATGCCTAACAGCAGTCTATGACTGAAAAAAACAGCACCTCTTTTTTTAATAGGTAAACTAGAGAAAAATTAAACAATTTCAGACACTAGAAATTGTGCTTCTATCAGGTTGGTGGGAATATGGTTTCAAATCAGGCTGGTGAGAACTTCATATTAGCTGGCACATATGACAATAAGAGATGATTCAGTTAGTTATATCTTTATAAATACTTTGGTTTTCTCTGAATATCTGCACCTCCATCAAAAAGTAAAGAACTCATTGGGAACTCTGAAGAAAATTCTTGTTTGGATATCTTCACATCTATTTTAATGATGTCTCCAGTGCTAACTGTTTCATTTAAAAAAAAAAAAAAAAAAAAAAAAAACTTTCATGAAATCTTTGTGTAATTTTTTTGCGCTGTTGTTCTTTTCATATACACAGCAATCTGTTTTCCTTAAAAAAAAAAAAAAAAAAAAAAAAAGGGGGGGGGGAATTGCACAAACTTGGTATCATGCACTAATTTGGCACTATGAATTGGCCACAATCACAATTGCCAAAGAACAGTTGACAATTTAGTGTACACTCCAACATATTAAAAACAAAAGAGAGCAAACTCCACAGTTCCTTTATCATTCATTATGACGAAAACAAATGTATTCAATGCAAAAAAAAAAAAAAAAAAAAAAATACTTATTAGAAAAATGTCCGTTGAATTTCAAAAGTGCAAATTCATGTGCACTAAGACACATGTGTGCTCTGTGTATACCTGGTTTGCATAGAAATACTTTTACATAGCATAGTGCATTACCTCATCAACACTTATTCAATTCATTTCTTTTTGGTGTGGGTGCAGATAATCAGAAAGTAACAAAACTTTTCACAAGTTTTTAAAATTTTGTTTAAAAACTACAGCTAAATATGTTAAAGAAGTCGTTTATCTCATTAATTAAGCTAGATTGAAATAAACATAGGATAAGATAACTGGATTGATAATTTATTATCAGATGTTACAGAATTGATTCTAAAAAATATTTACTACTAAGAAAATTAGTACCAGTTTGTCATTACATACTAAATCCTTTCAAACATCATTTTCAAATTCTTTTTGATATAGAAAAGAAATACCAATGCTTCAGCTCATAGCTGACCACTTCACAATCAATAAAAGAATCTTTACTATTACGAGAAAAAGAATTTCAAGAACAAAGGCTTGCTTACAATGAGAGTGATTATTCATATTCCAAGTTCTAATTTCCTACATCCATTCATATAAAGGAAACCAGATGAGATAAAATATCAAATTAAACAGTGACAATGGAGGCCAATGTGTAAGCAATTAAAATTCACTTTCAAATTTAATACATATGCTATCACTGAAGGGAAAAGAAATCAGAATACCTATTCTTTCATTTCTTGAAAGATACAATTAAGAGCTTTATATGTTTCTTAGATACAAATCATAATGATTTCAATAAAACATTTAGAAAATATAAGCTGTCTCTTTTAGATTATACTTAACTTGGAATTTGTTCTGCATATCAAAATTCTGATTATATGAATAAAAAAATCTAATGTGTACACCACATGACTTCCTTGTACGAAACATTAAATTATACACATTTTTCTTGCATTTCGTTATTGGATTAAATTAAACCTATTTCGCCGACAGCGCACAAACCACAATAGAATAAATGCATTCTTTAAAATTCACTCTATTTGCTTACCATAGCAGCACTATGGTGCTAGATTCACTTAACAGTATTATATTTCGTTCATATTATAACTCAGAATGCACAAACTTATTTAAACTTATTTAATACTTTAATAAAACTTATTTAAAGAATTATCTCATCATTGCCACATGTTCTATTCAAATACTATAATAAAGCTAGAACGATGTATAAAAGAAATTAAGCAAACAAAACAAAAAAAAAAAAAAGAAACAGTTTATCACAGACGATTTAGTATTTCTCATTCAATTAATTCAGTTCTCCCTTCGCGACAAGGCAAAAACGCAAAATATCTGTATTAAAAATTACGAAGTAAATCTTAAACACTTATTTCTTCGAAAAAATTTCAGAAAGGATTAAGCATGATTTAATTCGCAATAATAAATGAAGGTGTTATCTTTGTTGCTGTGAAGCTACGTTTCTCTAGATTGGCAACAAATCCACTACTCTACTGTTTCAAATGTAAACAAGCAATGGCCGCCATCAAAAAAATTATTAGGCTTAGCATCCCTTAAACAACTTTAAAATTATTAATTCTAAAAAATATTGCATGCAGATTTACTAAAAGCATAAAAATTCAATCATTTTTAAAGCAAAAAATGTACAATTTACAAACATATAAGAGTAAAGAAACTGAGATCACTGAGCTGGGTAACAGAGTAGAGATATATAAAAATATATTTATATATGTTTGGCGCGGCCGATTGCAACCAAAATACGAGGTGCACATCTACATTTTATAGTAGTCCTATATACAAAATTTCAACGTTCTAAGGCCACTGGTTTTTTAGTTATGTGAGATACGTACGTGCCTACGTACATACGTTCATACAAATGCCACGAAAAATTCTCTTCAAAAATTCATTTTAAAGCAGTTTTATAATTCTTTTGGAGGAAAAGAGTCTTTTATTCTGTCCTAACATACAGATATCACTCAAATACATCGTTAAATTGCATTTGAAAGCGGTCAAAATGGATATTTCCGTTGAAATATGCTGCCTGAAACTGTTTGTGATTACAATACTTCCTTTTTACTTTGTACAAGGAAGTAAAAAGGATAAATAAAATGTTAATATGCCAAACATTTGGCATAATTCTACTCGTCATTAAAAATCTATGCTGCTTTGTTTCAATATACTGTTTTTTCCTGAAAAACAGCCTCAAAAAGGAAGCTATTTTATCTTGGAATATTTAAAATGGATAAACTAAATCTTAGCATTAGAACTAATACTCAGATGTTTAAGTTAAAAATAAATTAGAACTGAAGAATAACAATAATGCAGTTTTTACATCTCATGTAACTCACGCTTGCTGGACCTAACAGGAAAATATTTCAATTAAAAATCAAGCAACGTTTAATATAAAGACAACAAAATACAGTTATTATTAATAGAATTAAACACAATTACTCTTGATTTACAATGTACTAATAAAATTTTAAATAGGTTCGGTTTTGGTTTACTTAATTATGGTGCACTAGGTTTACTTAATTAAGGCACTAGGTTTACTTTGGTTTACTTAATTAAGCACACTAGGGCTATCTGCCTAAGGGAAGGGATGCCTTCGTGGAGGACTTTCTAAGGGAAACTGGCTTGTATACACATTACACATGGGAAAAACCACAAAAACCATGCAGCCAGCCTGTTCGCGGGATTCGAACCTCGGACCGAACTACCAGTGTTCAGCGACTTTACCGCTTGGCTGCTGGTGGGCCCCAAATTTAAATAGGCAAATAGTTTGAAAAAAAAGGTGGAAAAACTATTAACTGAGCATCCAACAAGTCAGAATATTTATGGATTTTGTCATGAATGCTACGAAGAGTTTGAGAGCTTATTTTAACTCAGCAGTTCTCAACCTGTTTTCCCTATGTACTTTTTCACCATTGTCTCCCCCTTCTCTGCAAAACTGTAGAAATACATATACATTTGTTTAATAGAGAATATATAAATGAAAATTATCTCATATGAAATATGAAGTAAAATTTAGATGCTAAATGTGTACTGTTGAGGAAATTAATAATTGGAATTTGTAAATAACTGAACTGGAACTGTTAATTAAAATGCAAAACTAACGAATAAAATAAAAGAATTGCTGCTGATTCCACAGAAAGATTCCGACTCATCAAGGAGAATTAGAACCTCTCAATACAACCACCACCAATTCATGAGGAGTGCATTTCATCAATTCACATTTCTGAACAAAATACTCAAATTTTAAATTTTCTATTCAATTTTATGAAATCGAAATTTAAATCTTAAAGAAGTTTCTTTTGCAATTAAATTGTGTAAAAATTTTTCTTTCTAAATAATCTGGCCTCCATACTTTTTAGATGTAAAAAACTTTACTCTGTATTTCTTAATTTTTACAGTTCTTACCATACAGTTTTTATTATTATTTTCTGTTACTGTTTTGCTGAACTAACATACTGGAAGAAAATTCGTGCCAATGGCAACCCCTTCCTATCTCAATTTCACGCCATTACATTGGACACTCCCAAACTTTACTCATGGCAACCCTAGGCATCTAAAGAAAGTTACTGTAATAGTGCGATTTGTAATCTCTTTTGGTTAGGGTAAAACGCAAGTAAAATTTTAAATTAGTTTTGGCCTATTAATACATCAAAATTCCATGTTTATTTCTTTTGCTTCATTTCCATTTTGATTTTTGTTTCTTTTTTATCATATATTTTTCATTTATTCTTATAATTTTAGATTAAGTATTGTTTAGTTTGGATACTATATTTATTTTTGAAATTAATTGTAATCAATTCTCTAACCGCACATCAGGAAATTATTTGACATTTCTGAACATCTTTAAGATTTAAATTTGGATTTTATAAAACTGAATAGGAAATTTAAAATTGGAGTTGTGATTTTGTCCAAAAATGCAAAATGACGAAAAGAGCTCCTCATGAATTGTTAGTGGTTGTAAGGAGAGGTTCTAGTTTCTCCTGATAAGTCAGGATCTTTATATTAGAATCAGCAATAATTCTCTTATTTTATTACTTATTTTGCATTTTAATTATTTACAAATTCCAAGTATTAATTTCCATACTAGTACTAGTACACATATGCCATCTAAATTTCACTGAATATTTCATAAGAAATAATTTCATTTATATATTCTCTATTAAATTAAATTTTATGTTTGCAGCAATACTACAGGATGTTATTATTTTTAAAGTTAATTTTAAAATGTTTCTTTTTGCTTTTCTATACATTTGTTTACGATTATACACTTCCATAACTTAAAACTAAAAGTATAAAAAATGTTGATTAAAATTAAAACTTGAATAAAAGCATTATTTTAGATTCATAAACTAAAACTCAATATATACTTAACAATTAAATAAAAGGCTGACTGCATTTCCCCCTGAAACTAAGAAATCCCCCCTTGTTGAGAATCTCTGTTCTAACTAGAAACCACCACAAAACTCCTAATTGTTCTATTTTCCTCCTTTCTAGCAACAGTATTAAAACTGCTAAATTTTATGACAGTATAGAATGCAAGACAATTTCTATGCAATCTAATTTAATCGCATGATTATTTTCATTCTGATAATGGCTCAAAAATTAATAAGCTAAAATACAAAAATCACAGTCGGAAAACTTCCAGAACATAAATTATTTTGAAACTTTTGACATCTAGTATTATCATATATAAATCATGTAAGCTTCATTAAATGTAAAGCTTAAAAAATTCTGCTTCTTAATAAGCTTAATATTTAAGTTTATAAAATTATACTATTGAAAATAATCATTATTGAAAGAATAACACTCTCAGCTAAATAAATAGAGAATGCTTTAAATTATAAACACAACAAACATGATTAATCCTAACAGCAATGAATAATTAAGTGCATAATTAAGCATAACTTTTTAAATATTTTTTACTGATAAAATTACGTTAAAAACATACTAAAAAATTAAATGTTCATAAATGTAAGAAAACTTATAACATACTCATCAAGATTTATTTTCACAGGCAAGGAACAAAATGATTCGGGTTGGTCATCTTTTTTTTTTCCTTTTTTCCTCCTGTATGTATTTTGCACAATAGAAGTATTATTATGCTTATTTTCATTTGGATCTATTTTGTCCTCAAAAGGAAAAGTTTGTCTTAACATTTTACACAATTTCATAACTTCTTTTTCACCAGTTAAAAATACTAATATGGCACCAGGTGGTAGCTGCTTGTGGATTTTGAAGACCTAATGAGAAAAATCATTACATTACTTAAATCTCGACAAAGCAGTTATAGAACTTGAACAGTGGAACTTTGTAACTGAACAAGAAGTTATATCTATCTATAGAGTTGAAGAGAAGGTATTAGCAGCATAAAAATACAGAAACTTAAACAATTTACATTGAAACTAATGTTTGATAAAATAAACAAATAAATATTAAACTTTTTTTTTTTTTTTTTTTTCTTTTTGTAAATTTTGAGGCCCTTTGAATCACAAACACTTCATTACTTCATAAATCCCGATTTCAAATTTTAAATTTTATAATTTCTATATGCCATTTTACTAGACTTAAACTGATGATTAATATCAGGAGAAATCTCAAATCCAGAATCACTGACGTCCCGACACGTCCAGATCTCGGACTTTGTACTGTATAACATTTTAAATTCAAAATACTTCAGTCTGAAGTAAAGATTGCTTTGCATTCCTCTCTGTCAAATTATTCAGTAAGATAATTAAATCGAGTAAAATAAGTAATTTAGTATATATTCAGTAATAATTAAATTCAGTAAAATAATTATCAAAAAATGAATATTTTTTTATCAAATTATGCATCTATCCCCCATTATGCTTGGATACAAATTAAGTAAATGTGCTCTTAGAAAATGTAAACTACACATTTTATTTCTATATATGTGTTCTGTGTATAGCAATAAATGCTAGTTTTATAATACCTGAATGCTAGTACCTTTTATATATATATATATATATATATATATATATATATATATATATATATATATACCTACAACACTTAAAAGTAGATGGATACTTAAGTTAGCTTTCTTTACCTCACATATCATATACACAAATGCAGACTACAATCTTCTAAAGCAATAAGATTAACAGTCACTTAGGAATTCTTAAGACAATTTTTCCTTTAAGGTAACTGAAACAGCATGCAGAAACTTTCAAGATATTCAACTCAAGCATCTAAATGTCCAACTCAAACCCACAAAAATCAATACTGGCATAACATACTGGGAACAAACAGCAATCTGGAAGCAATTTAAATCATACTGATTTTTAGTCTTACAAGAACACTGACTGCGAATAAATGCATGCATACTCACATACCCTATTTAGATCACCATTAATCAGTAGCACATTGCAGCAAAAGCTTAATTCTTCCTGCTTCTATAATATTAATTATGGCTTACTTTCAAATCAAACATAAAATGAATACTTATGATACATATGTTCAGATAATGCAATGGCACACTGGTGGCCTACAAAGCAACTTTGAGCAGCCTGCTAACACATTTCAATTGTCTATTTGTTCCAAAAAGGTGCTGTAATAATTTCAAAATTTTAATAATTTGAAATAAGAGTTCACATTTAAAAATGAAAATGAATAATGCAACAGAAAACCTATAAATGAAACTAATTGATTTCCATTGTGATATAAACTGTATTAAAGATTTGAAGATACAGACTTTATTAATTTTAAAACATATATATAAAACAATAAATACATTACAAATTTTTACATTAAGAATAATCATTTTGATGATACAGTTATATATGAACAGCATTTTCAAAATTTGTTACTTATAATATTCGACACAGCTAAATTTCTGCTGTACAAATTAATATATACATTTTATATATCATAATACATTTTAACCCTTTGTAGCACAGTGCGCCCGGTCTGGGCACACCTAAAAATTTCCTTCTGCAAGCACAGAAAAATTGAATGAAAAAGGATTTATAGGTTACTCTGAACCTTCTTTATTTATAGGGGATGGCAGCTCAACACAAACCAGTCTATATATTTTAGCCATGTTTAGTTTTAAGACCCTCATTTTTCAAAGAAATCTTCCAGATTTTTTTTAGGCTATAAAAGGAATTGTTTGAAAAGAAATTTCTATGTCATTTTTTTGGCTGCATGCTAATCTCCTTATTCTATTTTTTTATTTTTAAATTTTTACCTTGAAATCTTCTTGAAATCAAACGGTGAACCCCAAATGTGCCCAGACCGGGCTCACCAATAATCCAGGACAACTGAGAGTCTGTATTCTTTGTTTCTCAGCATCTCATTGCTCAGTTCATTGACAACAGAAACGTGGTTCCACATCTGTGTTTCATTTCCTGTTTTTCTCTTTGTTCTTTTCTCTCTCTCCCCCTTTTTTTTGGGGGGGGGTGACGTTTGGTTATCAACTAACCAATTGTTGGGGTGATTTTCTGAAGGTCAACGGTAATTTTATCAGTTTACTGTTTGGTTTTTCACTAGAGCAGTTCTCTTTCGCTTTCGTTCAAAGTTTCGCTAGCACTACATTTAGTAGTTTTGAGTTCTAAACGTTTATTTAATTTTATAGTTTATAATTTCTAATTGTAGATATAATATTAGTTAATTTTTTCAGATTTTTAATTATTTTCCAAATGGATCGGAGAGGGCTGACCATTTCTGTTACATGAATTGCTTTCAAGATAGTGAATCTGATACGGATCCCGGTACATGTGCAAAATGTGCAATATTGGGTTGCGCTTTTTTAAAGGTGGTGTCACTTTCTTTGAGAAGTACCACCCTGGAAAAAAAAAAAAAAAGACTAAAGTGTAAATATGAAATGTAAATATCATATACGCAAGTTACTTTTTTCTTCCCATTCATATGCATGTAATCATCACATAACGAAAAAAGAGCTTTTTAGCAGAGGGTAGAGTAGCAGGTCTACTTGTGTAACATCCTGGGTAATTCTAATTATGCTATGGTCTTCAGAATCTAATGTTTTTTAATCGTAGGCAAAATCTCTATTACGCTCTTCCCAGCACTCTTTTCGAAGCTTTATATTCAATCAGCATGCCCAATTCAGGCACGCCCACAGAATTAAAAAGATAAGTGCTATCTTCACAAAATTTTACTTGTGTACTCCTCTAGGCCTATTAGACTGCCTACCTTTTTTTAAATCGAAATTCCAACTTTAAAAGGTCGCATGCTGGAAAGGGTTAAGACATGATAATCTTGACCAAGCACTTACATATATATTGTTACAAAATGTACAGGTGCGGTAAGATGGCTTCCCCCAAAAGCAGTTTTAGGGTTGCCATAAAATGGCAAGGGAAGGCAGGGCTGCCTCATTTGGCGAGAAATAGCCCATTTGGTGACATTTGGCAAAAAAATTCGCAATATGCCATGGATGGAAGAATTTGTTCCATGGAGAACCTTCTGGAACAAATTCTTAGCAGTTTAGCCCATAATTTTATCAAACACAAGCCAAAAGCTATATAAACCGTGCTGGTCCTCAGTCAGTTAGTGTGAGAGTGTGCCTTGTCTAGAGTGTGAGTGTGTCTCCTCTAGTTAGTCTGTGAGGAGTCGATCGAGTTGACAGTCGAACAGCGAATGCCGAGTGGGTAGTCAAATGCAGAAGAGTCTCTTAATGTATCACAGTTAGTGCATCGTTGAGAAAGTGTGTTAAGCTCCGGGAACGACTGAACCGAAGATTCAGGAGCTGTGCTTTGCATGTCGTCGAGTGCATCGCGAGTTGTAGTGTGGAGAGTCTTGAGAGTACGTGGAGTTCCGAGAATAACCGAGCAGAGTCAGGTGCTGTACTCTGGTGCTTTGCAGTGAAGCTTTCTCCACCGTTATAGCCTGATAGTGTGAGGACTGTGTCCCTGATTGTGTCAGCGTGTTTATAGTAATTTTTCGACGACTGTAACATGATTTTGGAGCTGTCCTGATTAATATTGGCTAAATAAAGTGTGTTTCAATATTCAATATTCCATCAAGTGCTGTCGTCATCATTCACTCCAAATCCACACGAACCCCATACGAACGTGAAGGGAAGAAAATAATGTAACAACTGGTGTCAGAAAGAGAAAAATGCAACAATATATAAAGAAGAGAATGCCATAAAACTATCACAGCAATTTTAAATTTTATGCCACTGTTTACACTTAGAAGCAGCTTATGTTTTACATTTTTACCCTACAGTAAGTATGGAATTTCATTCAGCATGAACTTTTAAAAGCAACAACACAAGTGCTCTCTGATAGTTTTCTATATTTCATAACTTTTCATCATAAAAGCTTTTTTTTGCCTTATATATATAGCTTACATACAATTGGGAGAGTAGAGTTAATAATGAAATCATTTCTTTTATTTGAATGCACATTTAATTAATGTTTCATAAATGATATTTTGATCTGGAAATTTTCTTTCATGTCACATTTTTATTTGGATATGTTAACAGATATTAAAAAGTACTAATGAATACAAACTTTGTGATATGCTGCTTCAACATAGTCCTCTGGAGTCTTAATATTAAAATGAACTTGTACTTTATACTGGCGAGAATCAAGCTGGAAAAATAAATATTTTGATGTTAAGTTCTACATGCAAGCTAGATGCTCAATGAAAACTTGAAACAACTTCAAATAAAAATAAGTTACCCGTATTAAAAATGGTTGCTGCTTAAACAGTCTGGGATTTTCTGTGAAATCCTCCACACGTATAGTTGCTGACATAATTATTAATTTCAAAGGATCTCCTTTCTAAAAAAAGGTACCAGTTACACTCTTTATCCTAATTCTACAGTAAAAGCCTGACTATTTGTCCTTCAACTACTCTAAGCTCAAGTAATAAAAATATTTGAGTTTTAGAGACTGTCCTCCCCCCCAAAAAAATAAGTAAATGAGAAGCTTTTTAAGCCATTATAAAAATATGGTCAAAATGTGTAATTATGTATGTGACATTATAGCCATTATGCAAAATTTAACATCAATAATGGATAAGCATTACATTGCAATATAATCATTTAAGATGAGGAAGATAAATTGTCATAGCTATTTATCTGTTTCTTGATCCCATTTTGGTAAACTTATTAAAATCTGGAATGCACGGAACAGCATGCAATGGAATATCTTCAAAGAAACGGGATCTTGGCATACAGAAACATGCCCGTTAATAGGCATGATACATGACTTTATTTGAAAATGGATATACAATTGATTCTATTTGAAAATGGATGTCAGTGCAATATAAAAAATTAAAATATGCAATTTAAGTTTCTTACATCTAATAAAATACTAAAAGATCTGTTCTAGTGCCAGTGCCATGCATTTTCTGCCTAGTGTGCTTGCACAGGTTACACAAACTTCTGCCATAATAACTGTTGCTAATTTGGCAATTTCTCTGTCTGCCGTTTTTCATGGTTTATGGGATTTCATATTTTTATGGCCTATGGAAATATTTTATGGCAAATAAAATATTGGCTTTTTTAATATTAACTACATTTTTTATACATTCAATTATCTGGAATTTTCACGTACCTGGCACTTCCCAAGATTTCCAGATAGTCAAGCTTTTACAGTATATACAACAATAATATAAAATCTAAAAACAAAAGAACACAACATCTAATTAAGAACATCCGTTAAGAATCCGAAATAGATATAGAAAAAAATAACACTTTTTTATTTACAGAGACAAATCAAAAAATAAGTTATACTTGAATAAAAGTGCTACAAAATAAAAAGGTAAACAGAAATTAAGGTTCTTTATTGAATAATAAAAGCATATGTCATTTTTATGTGGTCTATAAACAAAATGAAATATTTTTCCCATAGTATAATAATGTTTTCCATGGCAGTAAAATGGAAATTTCTTCCAACATTTTCCAATCAATTCGTCAGTGGTTCGGAAACGTTGATAAGAGAGGTCATTCTTCATTTGTCAAAACGGTGGGTGGGGACAAACCTCTCATTTTAATTTCAGTAGCAATGTTTGTGTTTTCTGAGTTGTGGAGTTGAATTGGCGAAGCAGACAACTGAAACAGAACCACCAACTTTGTTCTTTGTGTGCAGCTGTTAAAAGTTGTGGCACCCATTTCACACATAGCTTCCCATATTGCAAGTGTTCATGAAAATGGAATGCATACTTCCATATGAAATATTCAGCATAATAAAAATTTCCTTAATTTTTATGCATCAATTGTCTTCAACAATGCGCTCGAAAGTTTTAGCACTGATGGAGGTTGCAGGTGGCCTGGGATGATAGTCATTAGTGATACCAGTGCCATCATTTTCAGATTGCCCACACCACATTGCAGGCTGCAATATTAATGCTTGCCACAGTAAGCAACAAATGCACAATGGATTTCTGTGTAATTTAACCCCTTAACTGCTGCAGGCATATATATATGCATTGCTCAGCCAATGCATTAACTGCCCCGGGCGTATATATATGCCCTTCCAAACTACTATCATTTGCTTTGTGCTGCTACCTGTAAAATTATTTGCAAAGCTTTGGAATGAAACACCACAATGACCCTGACAAAGTATGCGAAGGAGGATACTATTTCAGAGAAGTGTAGGGAGAAACTGGAGAGAGTGGTGTGTCTAAAACAGTGAAAGTAATGACTGTGCGGTATTGGCTGGTGTAGTTTGAGTAAAATGTATTTTTTTTATTCTGTGTACTCCATTTTCGTTTAGATTTTGTAGTAAATTCCAAGAATAAAGAAAGATATAATGGATGTTTCAAACCCATTTATCTTTTTTGAATTATTTTTGATGAACTGCTTGTGCTGTATATCGTTACTGAAACTAACCGTTTTGTAGATGAGTATATGAACCAACACCTTGCAAACGAAAAATCAAGAACAAAATCGTGGCATTGAACCAGTTCAGAAGAAGTATATGTTTTTTTAGACATACTAATTTCACAAGGCATAACACTGAAGCATGATATTACACTTTACTGATGTAAAAATGAATTGATCGAAACTCCATTTTAGGGATTTTTTTTATTATAAAAACATCATTTTTATTATACTTACATCTTTTTATTATACTTTTACTCAAAACATTAAATTTTGTGCATTCATTTTTTTCTTTTATTCTTTATGCTGTGAAAGTAAAGTTTTTAGAAAGTAAGACTTGCACTTAGTTTCCCCCTAATACATTGCATAACTACATGCGCCTGTGTGAAAAACCGTGGCACCGCGAAATGAATCTTGTACGTTTTCCACGGCGGTTAAGCATCTTGCCCATAAAAAATGTACAATTCCTCTTACTTCCAATGAATTCAGCTGATGTGACATTATGAACTCCTTTTTAAACATGTTCAATGGAAAAACACCACTAACTATATTTCCTTTTAAGTTCTTATATTTAATCAGTAAACCTGCGAACTTGCTATGCTCTACTTACAGTGCATCATCTGCCACCACGTGTAACTTTCTTTTTGATTTACCCTTGTACATTGCTAGTCCTGAAACTGAAAAACAATCTAGCAGCTAAAAATCATGATAATGTACAATAATAATGTAATCATGATTTTTAGTTTTCACTTTAATACAATAAGCTTAAATCACTTTACTATAATAAACTATAGTAATCAATTCGTCAGTGGTTCGGAAACGTTGATAAGAGAGGTCATTCTTCATTTGTCAAAACGGTGGGTGGGGACAAACCTCTCATTTTAATTTCAGTAGCAATGTTTGTGTTTTCTGAGTTGTGGAGTTGAATTGGCAAAGCAGACAACTGAAACAGAACCACCAACTTTGTTCTTTGTGTGCAGCTGTTAGAAGTTGTGGCACCCATTTCACACATAGCTTCCCATATTGCAAGTGTTCATGAAAATGGAATGCATACTTCCATATGAAATATTCAGCATAATAAAAATTTCCTTAATTTTTATGCATCAATTGTCTTCAACAATGCGCTCGAAAGTTTTAGCACTGATGGAGGTTGCAGGTGGCCTGGGATGATAGTCATTAGTGATACAGTGCCATCATTTTCAGATTGCCCACACCACATTGCAGGCTGCAATATTAATGCTTGCCACAGTAAGCAACAATGCACAATGGATTTTCTGTGTAATTTAACCCCTTAACTGCTGCAGGCATATATATATGCATGCTCAGCCAATGCATTAACTGCCCCGGGCGTATATATATGCCCTTCCAAACTACTATCATTTGCTTTGCTGCTACCCTGTAAAATTATTTGCAAAGCTTTGGAATGAAACACCACAATGACCCTGACAAAGTATGCGAAGGAGGATACTATTTCAGAGAAGTGTAGGGAGAAAACTGGAGAGAGTGGTGTGTCTAAAACAGTGAAAGTAATGACTGTGCGGTATTGGCTGGTGTAGTTTGAGTAAAATGTATTTTTTTTATTCTGTGTACTCCATTTTCGTTTAGATTTTGTAGTAAATTCCAAGAATAAAGAAAGATATAATGGATGTTTCAAACCCATTTATCTTTTTTGAATTATTTTTGATGAACTGCTTGTGCTGTATATCGTTACTGAAACTAACCGTTTTGTAGATGAGTATATGAACCAACACCTTGCAAACGAAAAATCAAGAACAAAATCGTGGCATTGAACCAGTTCAGAAGAAGTATATGTTTTTTTAGACATACTAATTTCACAAGGCATAACACTGAAGCATGATATTACACTTTACTGATGTAAAAATGAATTGATCGAAACTCCATTTTAGGGATTTTTTTTATTATAAAAACATCATTTTTATTATACTTACATCTTTTTATTATACTTTTACTCAAAACATTAAATTTTGTGCATTCATTTTTTTCTTTTATTCTTATGCTGTGAAAGTAAAGTTTTTAGAAAGTAAGACTTGCACTTAGTTTCCCCTAATACATTGCATAACTACATGCGCCTGTGTGAAAAACCGTGGCACCGCGAAATGAATCTTGTACGTTTTCCACGGCGTTAAGCATCTTGCCCATAAAAAAATGTACAATTCCTCTTACTTCCAATGATTCAGCTGATGTGACATTATGAACTCCTTTTTAAACATGTTCAATGGAAAAACACCACTAACTATATTTCCTTTTAAGTTCTTATATTTAATCAGTAAACCTGCGAACTTGCTATGCTCTACTTACAGTGCATCATCTGCCACCACGTGTAACTTTCTTTTTGATTTACCCTTGTACATTGCTAGTCCTGAAACTGAAAAACAATCTAGCAGCTAAAAATCATGATAATGTACAATAATAATGTAATCATGATTTTTAGTTTTCACTTTAATACCATAAGCTTAAATCACTTTACTATAATAAACTATAGTAATAATCTTTCTACTATAAATATAATAATTTTCAAAGGAAAGAATAAAATAAAACCTTTTCTCGCAGAGGCACAATACGAGAAAGAAGACCTATCAGCACATCCGAAAATACTGATCTTTCATGAGCTTCATCAATAATGATAACAGAATATTTTGAGAGGAAAAAATCCTGTAAATAGAGAAAAATATAATATGTGCACTGCTAACATTAAAAAATAAAATTTTAAATATATAAAATCAATAAAACCTTACATGTCTTATTTCTTTCAAAAGCACACCATCAGTCATAAATTTGATTTCAGTTTTTTCATCAACAGTCTTTTCGTATCTTATGTGATATGATACTACATCAGGCAGGTTCATTTCTATCCCAACTCTTGCTGCCATGGTCATGGCTGCAATTCTGCGTGGCTCAGTAATTCCAATAATTTTATTATGCCTATCATAAAAAAATAACTACATGAAATAAAATAAAATGGGTACTGTTTTTCCATAAACTTATAACTGATTATATAAAATAATTTCCTACTGCAAAATAAAAAGCAGAAATGAAGGAGACAAACTTTTTACGTACTTAGTATAGCCTGCTTCGTATAAAAACTGAGGTACTTGAGTAGTTTTCCCACTCCCAGTCTCACCATGAATTACAACAACCGAGTTTTCTTTAATTGCTTCCATAATACTTTGCTCTTCACAAAATATTGGTAATGCCTCTCTTGCAGCCTGAAAAATGTATAAAAAAAAAAGCTTTTATAATTACAAACAAATGAAAAGATTCAAAATAATTAATTAATTTAAAATTCAGTTTGAAAGCCAACAATATGGTCTTTATCATAAATGTAGTGAACACATAGAAGAGCTTAAGAATTAAAGCAAGAGAACAGAAAAACATGAAAAAAAAATTTTTTTTAAATCAAATTTACTGATTTCTGTCATAGCTAATTAATTACATTAACTATCTTCTGCCAGTATTAATACATATATTAGTGCAGAATAATACCTCACACTTCTTTACTTTTTGCTACACAATGATTAGTCTAGCTTGATTATTTAGGGCTGCACAGTTTTGAAATTCTAAAGATTTCAGTTATAAAATGTACTCATTATTTTTCAAATGTACAGTTTTATTTGGTATTCCCCCCTCCCATGAATGAGTGATAACTTTAAAAGAATTGTGTCAAGAGAGTTGTGGAGGAAATATGTAACATGTTTTAGCTCTGAAGATTACTATTGCATTTCTTTATCTGATAATTACTAAATTATTTTTTTCTCTTACATATATACAAGCAAGAGTATAGCTTTATGATTTTATTTTATTTTATTTTATTTTATTTTTTTTTTTTTCATTTTGGTCATAGTGGTGAGATTTGAAATTGAAAGAAATTTTTATGAAAGTTTATTCTGTACATAATTTATGCAAAAGCTATTAAAAGCATCATTTTTATAATTAAAAGAGAAAACAAGTGTTTTGCAACAATATTACTTGCAATGTGAAACACTTTTTTATCTTGGATGGCACTAATGTGATGTTTGATGAACTGTCATTTTATTTATTTGAATATAAGCAGGAAATATGTCAAGTTTTTATCTGATATAATTTAAGAATGACTATTCTATTGTAAACCTGGAAACAAAGTGTTTTCATGCATAATTTTATTTATATACTGGAGATATTGTTATTATATGAGAATGATTATTCAACAAAATATTAACATTGTTTATAAGATTTAATTAAATAAAGCCGAATAATTTATATGTATGCCAGAAATATCTTTAGTTCAATATATTAGAAGAGTATTGAATAAGTACAATAATGATACTGAAATAGCATTTATGGATAAATGATGAGGTCAATCTTTTATAAAATGCTGATAAACTTGGTAAAAATGTTAGCATTCATACTATTGCACATAAAATAAAGAAAATACTTATGCTGAATATGAGGAAGGGTTCAATTAGAATCGTTCAGAGATTATGCAAGACAGGCTACAGGAAAAACACAGTAGGTAGGAAAAATTATGGATTGAAGAAAAGTTAGAGAGAAGGAATATAAGAATGTGAATTGAGAAATACGACAACTGAATCACAGCTTAAATGCTGAAATGTTGAAATAGATAAAGGGAGGAGAACACTAAAGATGAACCTTCTTATGACAAAAAATTTAATCCAGGTATTTGATCTAACATAAATGGATATTAGTTTGTAATTAGGTATATTTGACGAACAGGCTAAAAGAACAAATATATTGAATTTTGACACCTGATATTGTTTAACATATTTCTCATGCACCAGATAAATAACGAGATGCATAATAAATAAGGAAAATAATTTTATTGAAGACATTTAGATTTAGTCCTGAAAAATTTTAAATGAAAGTTATGCAACATCAAAGAAATGCAAATGATATTTGGCCCAATTCTGTATTTGAGAGATGGAGCTATTTTGATGAATGAATAGAAAATGCACAAGTGCATGATTTTGATTTAGTCAATCATCTTACTATCGTAGATCAAGTGAAAAAGCATGTTGCAATAGAACACTGGGACCAGTTTGTATATGAATGGTAAAAAATTACTTTGGTTTTAACCGGCTTACATTGGTGACCTGTAACATTGGATAATTATAAAAATTTTACAAGAATGAAGAGTAAAGAAAAATTCAAAAGAATTCTTTGATGATCTTGTAATCTTTTAAGATAATGTCCAAATTTAGAATAAATTAAAGTTCCCCCAGCTGCAGCAAATAAAACTGTGGAGCAATCAAATGCTGAATTAGTATCTGTTTGTCTAACCATGGCTCAAGTAAATGAAGTTACCATGCCAGTTTTTACATATATTGCTGGTGCCATTAGTTTGATTTATAAGAAATGTATAACTCTGGAAATGGTTACTGGAGAAAATGTGTGGGTACAGCAATCCTTTGTAGCTGAAGATGAACCCACAGGGAATTTTCAAGACACTGTAGCTAAGGCAGCTATTATTTATGACTCCTTAGAACAAGGGGTAGAAAACTACAAGGGTATTGGTCTTGAAAATCGGGCAAATGAATTCATATCTCAAGGTAAGGAAAATGACATTCTGATGCAATATTGCTTAAATGCTATTCAAACTAGATTGCAAACAAGAAACAAACCAATATCAAGAAAAATGTTTATAAAGAATCTGCTAAAATGAAACAACAGTCTCTAGAATTCAGTAAAGGAGATGCTAGGTTTTTATATATTTTAAACCTGAATGATGATTTTCCTTTATATCTGCTAAGAAATAAATTCTGACACTTTCATCTTAGCCCAGGAAGAAAATTCAGATATAACACTTAGCCTTAACTAAAAATGATTCAAAGGATGAATTTTGTTTGCTGGAAGTGATACAGAAACAGAAAACACCTAACTAGAGAAACAGAAAACTCATCAATCGGATGCCCAAAATAATTAATTAGTGGTTCTCCATGAGTATAGACAACATTTGAAATACTTGTACCACGAAAGAAAAACTCTCATTTACGGGTGGCTAAAATAAAAGAAGTTTAGATATATATTGTTTTTGGTCAAATAGCTTTAAAGAAAAGAATATTTCAGAAATCCTGTCACCGCTTCCCAGAAAGCAGAGAAGCCAAACAGATCCATAAAAGCTCATTCCAGTAGTGCAAAAAATATTTTCTAAAATAAATACAAATAGTTGTGGACTTTTCCTATGTCACTTTCAAGAAAAAGTTATAACGATCTGTCTTTCTTCAAAGTATGCAAATGCAGTTTCAGTAACAGATATTATGCCAGAAACAGTGGATAACTTTATCAGAATTATTCAGTAGGATGGATTTTTCAAACAGATGATCAAGGAACATCCTTTATGAGTGGACATGCTACTCAATTTCTGAAAACATTTAAGATAAACATAACCCATAGTTCTGTTCAACATCCCCAGAGTAATGCAGTTAAAATATTAAACCTTTTTCTGACTGCAAACAGCATGTATATTCTACACCAGTGGTTATCAGCCTTTTGACTAAAGCATACCATGTAAACAAAAACTGAAAAACATAAGTACCACCACTAAATTTTACAATGACTATTTTTTAATTTCTCAATAAAAATATTTTATTTGTGCAATCTATTGGCTATTTGCATTAAATATGAACACAGACAATTTGTATTAAATAAGAATAAATATTAATAAGGCTATTTGTATTAAACAAGACCATAGAAAAATGTGTTAATTCAAACAAAAATGTACTTTTAGATAAACACTGGGTTGACTTTTCTATTAACTGAGATTTTTTTTTTTTTCTTTCAAGGAGGTATTAAGAAGAGATACAAGAGTTACCTGGCTTATAACATTTTACACAATGTGGAATTCTAATTGTGTGAATTTCACCCCAGTCTTTGCTGAAATATCTACTAAGTATTTTTGTTTAATATCTTTTCTTTTTTCTAATTGTTTGATGTATTAACTGTATAATCACTCATATTATTCAAACTGTCATTTTAGAGATGAACTGAATAATCTTAAATTTGGGAAACTAGATGTTACTAGGTATTCAGAAGCAGCTGAAAAGTAAATACTTCCAATTTAGTTGTTGTGCAATTTGAATACATGTTTTCTCCCAAGACTGTGGTTCTTAATCTTTTGACTTAAGTGTATCATCTTAACAAAAATTGAAAAACTTTAGTGCCACCACTACATTTTACAATGATTATTTTTCAATTTCTCAATAGAAATATTAAATATATAAATATATATATTGCCATCTGCACAATCTATTGGCTATATGTATTAAATATGCACACAAAAATAATAGTAGATTAAAAATTGGTTATCATTTTAATTATCAAAATTTAAGTTTTATTACTTTAATTCTAAAATTTAGAGCAAAATTTTTTCTTTTTAAAGAGAGATCAATTTCTTTATGTCTGGTCTTATTTCACTTAGTTTCAAATACATATTACGATTCATTTTTAATTTTGTTCTGTATTTATTTTTCAAATATAAAATGGAAGAAAATCCTTGTTAACACAATTGTGCAAAAAGGTAACACAAATTTAATAGCTCTATTTGAGATGCCATTAAATTCTTTTCCTCAATTCAGGCAGTTAACAAGTGTGTTATTTTTGGAAGCTTCAGTTACAGTTCGATCACAGGAAATTTCTATCAATTGTTCTTTTTCTTCACAAGATAAAATTTTAGGTACATTTGAACAGAATGGCATTTCCAATCCAATTTACCTTTTCATAATCCTCAGAAAAATATATTTTGAAATTATTTATCATCGAAAAACAATGATTTTTAATGTCAGATGCTAATTCTTCTTTTATTTTCAAATTATTTTCGGTTAGAAAACTTTCTAAAAGTGGTAAAAAGCTTAAAATATTATTATCCAATTCTTTGATAACTGCATTCATTTTATCTCTAATGCTAAACAAATTAATACTTTGTCCTTGTAATTCTAAATTAATTTAACTTACCAAAAATATAAGCACAATATGCCCAATGCGTCAACCATAATTCGCTAAATAAACATTTTTGCAATTCAAATTTTGAATCACACAGAAAAATTTGACTTTCTGATCGAATTTCAAAAAGACAATTTAAAACTTTGCCTATAGATAACCACCGTGCGTCAGAATGTGATAAAAGCATTTCATGTTAACTGCCCATCTCTTGGCACAAAATCGTAAACATTCTTGAATTTAAAACACAGCTTTTAATAAAATTAACAATTTTCATAGCTTGATTAAAAATTATTTCCAGGTTTTTGGGAATTGTTTTTACTACTACACCTACATGATGAATGAAGTAGTAAGTAAATTTAGTTTCAGGTGTTACCTCTCCCACCCCCCCCCTTTTTTTTTTTTTTTTTTTTTTTTTTTTGAGGGATAACACCAGAATATTTCCCTGTTAAAGCTCAAATTCCATCACTGCATTTCAAGGAGTATCATTTTCAAACATAAAATTGTCAGTTACTTTGAAAATTTCATTTGCAGTTATTCTATAATGAAGAGATTCACAAAATAAATTCCACTTAACAACTCGTTTATCTTCATCAAAATGTATGTAAACTGGTAACTGAACAAAGTTTGTTATATCAGTATTTTCATCCAAATGCAAAGCAAAATACTCTTAATAGTGTTTAATTTTTTTCTTTAATAATAGAGTTTTATTTTTTGAATAAGTTAGAAGGTATTTCTCCTGCCTTCTTAGCGTGCCTTCGTGGTGTAGTAGTCTGCACACTGGGCACGTATTCCACAGGTCCGTGGTTCGATTCCCGGTGAAGGCGTTGCTCATTTTTCACATCTCCTGCTCCCAAAAAATAACTAATGTCTTTACAAAGTCTCTCTTTTATGAAATTTGTCATTTCATGAATTTGATGACTTATTGCATCATTTGATAACGTAATATTATTAGTTCATTAGCCACTTTTTTGTTGAATAATGTTAAAAATGACATCCTTAGCTGCTGGTAATATAAAGTTTTCTCCAATGATGTGAGCCTACCTACTCTTAACAATTCTTAGGCTTACTAGGTAACTACCTTCCAAAGCTTTTTCACTTGAAGTAACAAAACCTTTCATTACTTGTTTATAATTTTTGAACTCTGATAACTTTCTTAACATGAATAATAGCAGATGGCCAGGAACCATATTTATGAATTCATAATATTTTTTGCTGGCTTGGCTTTTATTACTTGTATACATCAGCTCAATTTTAAAGCATGACATCTACTTGAATGGTGATAAAGTCATCAGACCTACATCACAAGATGTAACGAAAAAAACTGAAATATTAAGAACAGAAATTAACAAAATATTCAAAAGCAAAATTATTTATATTGCTGTTTCATCTGCTCCCTTTTATTATCTATTTTATAAACAAAGAGGGTCGGTTTTTCCTTGCTCTTTTGCCAACCTCTCTTTCAGCCAATCACTAGCTTTCCCGATCCTGGCTTCTATGTGACACACTACTCAGTATTTCATTCATTTATTCCACCCGATGGACATTATTCACCTTACTCCTAACCACTTTGGACTTATTTTATTATCCAAACTGCTATTTACACCTACAAATATGCTACTTATATTTTAATCCCTTCGCGCCGATTGTCACGTCTTTGTGCCAGCAACGAACACTCTCACTTCCCGGCCGACACGCAGGCGTGCCAGAGCATTTTCCCATTCAGCCCCGACTGTCACGTATTTGTGCCAGTGTCCTGGAATGTTTTAAAAACTATAATTTATGCCACAAGATGGCACTGTATGTCCATATGGTTTCAGATACATGTACATTATACCTTCTACTCAAAATGAGAGAAGCATGACTCACATACACATGTTTTTGATTATATAAACAAAAAGGGAAATAAATGTTTCCGAATGGCGTGATTTATGACGTCTCTTTAAATTCGCACGTGGTAGTTGTTTATTGTAAGTAGAGAAGTTTAATTTTCGCTAAAGCATTGGGTATTTCGGTTTAAATTAGATCTTGTTAGATGTGAATTCTTTCTGTTTTTAACAGAAACAGACCGAATAAATATTTTTTAATAGAAAATTTGTTAGACGTGAATTCTTTTTGTTTTAGAAAATAATTAGATCTTGTTAGACGTGAATTCTTTCTGTTTTTA